CAGAGTCACAGGGTTCCTGGTATCAGAGTTCACAGTCACAGGGTTCATGGTATCAGAGTCCACAGTCGCAGGGTTCCTGGTGTCAGAGTCCACAGTCTTGGGGTTCTTGGTGTCAGAGTCCACAGTCGCAGGGTTCCTGGTGTCAGAGTCCACAGTCGCAGGGTTCCTGGTATCAGAGTCCAGAGTCCCAGCAGAGTGCAGTCCTGCAGGCACAGCAGCCATCTTCCCTGCAGAGCTCTGTGCACACACAGGAGGATTTCCCTCCAAAACTCTGCAGTGCACATGGCTGTCCATGTTGGAGTCCAAACTGTCACTTTTAATAAAGCGCGGCTTTTCTGTTTTTTTCTCCTTTACAGGACCAGGTACAGAGTCCTCACCGTCATCCTCATCCTCATACTCCTCAGAAAAGCGGAAAGTTCTTCCAATTAGGGAAGACTCCAATTCCTCAATGTACTTTAGCAGCCCTCCGCCATGTTCCTCTACCTCCTGTGCTGTTCCTCCAGCTTGCTGTGGAGGGAGGGAGGCAGAGGCTGACATTTCCTCCAGGGAAGCAGATCCTGAGGTGGATGGGATAGCAGGGGCAGCATCCAGGACCCCTCCTCACTCTCCACCCGTACTGCCACCGCCGATGCTGGATCCTTACCGGAGTCTCCCTTCATCTTCCGGAACCTTTCCTCATTCCGGAACTTTTCTCTGAAAGCTCCGCTCTTCTCCTTCAGCATCTTTACCAGATTCTGCTGCTTCTTAATGACAACCTCCAAACCCTTCACCCTTCATATCATGACGTCCTCCAAACCCTTCATCTTCATACTCTGCCTCTTGCTGCTCCATGTCCTCCAAACCTTCATCTCCGTGCCCTCCAAACCCTTCATCTCCGGCTTCAGACTCTGCCTTGCTGCTCCATGATGTCCTCCAAACCCTTCATCTCCGGCTTCATACTCTGCCGCTGCTTCATGACGTCCTCCAAACCCTTCATCTCCGGCTTCAGACTCTGCTGCTGCTGCTCATGATGTCCTCCAAACCCTTCATCTCCGGCTTCATACTCTGCCGCTGCTTCATGACGTCCTCCAAACCTTCATCTCCGGATTCAGACTCTGCCCTGCTGCTCCATGACGTCCTCCAAACCCTTCATCTCCGGCTTCAGACTCTGCTCTTGCTGCTCCATGACGTCCTCCCAAACCTTCATCTCCGGCTTCAGACTCTGCCGCTGCTTCATGACGTCCTCCAAACCCTTCATCTCCGGCTTCATACTCTGCCTCTTGCTGCTCATGACGTCCTCCAAACCCTTCATCTCCGGCTTCAGACTCTGCCGCTGCTTCATGACGTCCTCCAACCCTTCATCTCCGGCTTCATACTCTGCCTCTTGCTGCTCCATGACGTCCTCCAAACCCTTCATCTCCGGCTTCAGACTCTGCCGCTGCTTCATGACGTCCTCCAAACCCTTCATCTCCGGCTTCAGACTCTGCCTCTTGCTGCTCCATGACGTCCTCCAAACCCTTCATCTCCGGCTTCAGACTCTGCCGCTGCTTCATGACGTCCTCCAAACCCTTCATCTCCGGCTTCATACTCTGCCTCTTGCTGCTCCATGACGTCCTCCAAACCCTTCGTCTCCGGCTTCATACTCTGCCGCTGCTTCATGACGTCCTCCAAACCCTTCATCTCCGGCTTCAGACTCTGCCGCTGCTTCATGACGTCCTCCAAACCCTTCATCTCCGGCTTCATGCTCTGCCTCTTGCTGCTCCATGACGTCCTCCAAACCCTTCATCTCCGGCTTCATGCTCTGCCTCTTGCTACTCCATTCCTTGTCATGGAGAACTTTCTTCTTCTTGTAGTCAGTTTTCAGACTCACCAACTTTTCCTCCTCCTTTGCGATTCTCACCAGATAATCAGCAACCCGCTCTCTGAAGACAGGGAGGGATTCCCCACTTTTAGGGCCACAGCCAAGGTCTTCAGGTGCTGGTAAAGTATGGGAAGGCAAGCTGGGTCCCTCAGGGGGAGCATGGTCTGAGCCTAGCCCAGAAGAGGCCATGTTTCTGGGGCCAGGCGAGCAGGCCTGCCCCCTAGTGTCTGGAGAGGGAGAGCAACTGCAGCACAACCTCTCTGGTGCAGAGTGGAAGCTCCTCTGTACAGAGACTGATGGGACTGGGGGGGAGGGGACATTAGAGTGTAAGCTCCTCTGTACAGAGACTGATGGGGACTGGGGGGGGAGGGGACATTAGAGTGGAAGCTCCTCTGTACAGAGACTGATGTGACTGGGGGGGAGGGGACATTAGAGTGTAAGCTCCTCTGGTACAGAGACTGATGTGACTGGGGGGGAGGGGACATTAGAGTGTAAGCTCCTCTGGTACAGAGACTGATGGGACTGTGGGGGAGGGGACATTAGAGTGTAAGCTCCTCTGGTACAGAGACTGATGGGACTGTGGGGGAGGGGACATTAGAGTGTAAGCTCCTCTGTACAGAGACCAATGTGACTGTGGGGGAGGGGACATTAGAGTGTCAGCTCCTCTGGTACAGACTGATGGGACTGTGGGGGAGGGGACATTAGAGTGTAAGCTCCTCTGGTACAGAGACTGATGTGACTGCGGGGGAGGGGACATTAGAGTGTAAGCTCCTCTGGTACAGAGACCGATGGGACTGTGGGGGGAGGGGACATTAGAGTGTAAGCTCCTCTGGTACAGAGAGACTGATGGGACTGTGGGGGAGGGGACATTAGAGTGTAAGCTCCTCTGTACAGAGACTGATGGGACTGTGGGGGAGGGGACATTAGAGTGTAAGCTCCTCTGGTACACAGACTGATGGGGGAGGGGACATTAGAGTGTCAGCTCCTCTGGTAGACGGCTGTGGAAGGTTCTGGTCATTCACGGGTCGATGGGACCTTCTCCGATGGGACGGCGGCTCCTTTGCTCTCTCTGGTTCTGGTGACACTAATCAGGGAAATGGGCGATTGGTTGTCACTGAGGTGAAGACCCCATCTACACACGGGTGGTCCTAAGGGACAGCTGGTAATGTTCTCTCTCCTCTGGGGGGTGCGGTTGTATGATAATGAGGTGGAGATGGGGACGTCCGATCCTACATGCCGACTTGCTGAGTCCTATGAACAGGTTCCATAGCTCTGAAAACCAATCCCATCATGCAGTCTCTAATGACCTGAAGTGGCCACAATGCTCCTATTACCCACAAGCCCTGTGATGATCTGTGCCTAACGTTCGGTCAGTTGAGGAAACCTCGGAGGATCAGAGGAACGCACTTCAGCCGACATGTGACACCGACATCTTGTCTGTTTACAGCTCCACCATAAAGTGACCCAGTCAGGACACAGATATGGGCGCACCAATCAGAGGTCAGCGGGAGGATGGAATCTACTGGCCTGTCATTCAGCTGACCCTAATGTGCTGCCCCCTACTGTGCAGTGTGTGAACTGTCCAATGGAAGACTCAAGAAAAGGAAGAAAAGGTAAATGAGGAGGAAATAGAAATAATTCTTTAAAGCCGGAGATTGCAGCTGACACCCTCCATTGACCGACACCCACCATTGACCGACACCCACCAGTGACCGACACCCTCCAGTGATCGACACCCACCAGTGACCGACACCCTCCAGTGACCGACACCCACCATTGACCGACACCCACCATTGACTGACACCCACCAGTGACCGACACCCACCATTGACTGACACCCACCAGTGACCGACACCCTCCAGTGATCGACACCCTCCAGTGACCGACACCCACCATTGACTGACACACCCACCAGTGACCGACACCCTCCGTGACCGACACCCTCCGTTGACCGACCCTCCGTTGACCGACACCCCGGTGACCGACACCCACCATTGACCGACACCCACCGGTGACCGACACCCACCGGTGACCGACACCCACCATTGACCGACACCCACCAGTGACCGACACCCTCCAGTGACATACACCCTCCAGTGACCGACACCCTCCAGTGACAGACACCCTCCAGTGACAGACACCCTCCAGTGACCGACACCCTCCATTGACCGACACCCTCCGGTGACCGACACCCTCCGGTGACCGACACCCACCCGACACCCACCAGTGACCGACACCCTCCAGTGACCTACACCCACCGGTGACCGACACCCTCCATTGACCGACACCCACCGGTGACCGACACCCTCCGGTGACCGACACCCTCCGGTGACCGACACCCACCATTGACCGACACCCTCCGGTGACCGAAACCCACCATTGACCGACACCCACCGGTGACCGACACCCACCGGTGACCGACACCCTCCAGTGACCGACACCCACCATTGACCGACACCCACCAGTGACCGACACCCTCCAGTGACCTACACCCACCGGTGACCGACACCCTCCATTGACCGACACCCACCGGTGACCGACACCCTCCGGTGACCGACACCCACCATTGACCGACACCCTCCGGTGACCGACACCCACCATTGACCGACACCCACCGGTGACCGACACCCACCGGTGACCGACACCCTCCGGTGACCGACACCCACCGGTGACCGACACCCTCCAGTGACCGACACCCTCCAGTGACCGACACTCACCAGAGACCGCCACCCTCCAGAGACCGCCACCCTCCAGTGACCGACACTCACCAGAGACCGCCACCCTCCAGAGACCGCCACCCTCCAGTGACCGACACCCACCATTGACCGACACCCACCGGTGACCGACACCCACCGGTGACCGACACCCACCGGTGACCGACACCCACCATTACCGACACCCACCAGTGACCGACACCCTGCAGTGACCGACACTCACCAGAGACCGACACCCTCCAGTGACCGCCACCCTCCAGTGACCGCCACCCCCTCCAGTGACAGACACCCTCCAGTGACAGACACCCTCCAGTGACAGACACCCTCCAGTGACCGACACCCACCAGTGACCGCCACCCTCCAGTGACAGACACCCTCCAGTGACCGACACCCAGCAGTAACCAGTCCCGACAGGAAATGTGTTGAGCGATTGGGAAGCTGCTCACCTGGAGTCTCTGGATCCGGCTGTACGTTCTCTGCAGTCTCATCTGGCTGACTTTACGCTGCAATCTGTACATGAGCGTGGCATCCCGCACAGGGTGAGCGGACACAGCTCCCACCACCGCCGACGCCTCTATATTATCCAGGTCTGCATTTCTTGGGAGGTTGAAGGAGATGTAAACCAAACCCTAGGAGAAGATTGAGGGGTGTTAGAGGGACACGTGAGTCCTAGGAGGGGTGTTAGAGGGACACGTGAGCCCTAGGAGGAGAATGAGGGATGTTAGGTGTACATGTGAACCCCAAGACAAGATTGAGGGCTGTTAGAGAGACACATGAGCCCCAGGAGGAGGTTGAGGGGTGTTAGGGGGACATGTAAGCCGTAGGAAGAGATTGATGGGTGTTAGGGGTACACATGAGTCCTAGAAAAAAATTGAGGGGTGTTAGGGGTACATGTGAGCCCCAAGACAAGATTGAGGGGTGTTAGAGGGACACGTGAGCCCTAGGAGGAGATTGAGGGGTGCTTGAGGGATATGTGAGCCCTAAAAGGAGATTGAGGAGTGTTAGAGGGACACGTGAGCCCTAGGAGGAGATTGAGGGGTGTTAGAGGAGACACGTGAGCCCTAGGAGGAGATTGAGGGGTGCTTGAGGGATATGTGAGCCCTAAAAGGAGATTGAGGAGTGTTAGAGGGACAAGTGAGCCCCAGGAGGAGATTGAGGGGTGTTAGGGGGACATGTGAGTCCTAGGAGGAGATTAAGGGGTGTTAGATGGACACGTGAGCCCTAGGAGGAGATTGAGGGGTATTAGAGGGACATATAAACCCTAGGAGGAGATTAAGGGGTGTTAGATGGACACATGAGCCCTAGGAGGAGATTGAGGGGTATTAGAGGGACACATAATCCCTAGGAGGAGATTGAGAGGTATTAGAGGGACACATAAGCCCTAGGAGGAGATTGAGGGGTGTTAGGGGGACACGTGAGTCCTAAGAGGAGATTGAGGAGTGTTAGGGGGACACGTGAGCCCAAGGAGGAGATCGAGGGGTGTTAGGGGGAAATGTGAGTCCTAGGAGGAATGAAGGGGTGCTAGATGAACACGTGAGCCCTAGGAGGAGATTGAGAGGTATTAGATGGACACGTGAGCCGCAGGAGGAGATCGAGGGGTGTTAGGGGGACATGTGAATCCTAGGAGAAATTAAGGGGTGTTAGATGGACACGTGAGCCCTAGGAAGAGATTGAGAGGTATTAGAGGGACACGTAACCCCTAGGAGGAGATTGAGGGGTGTTAGGGGGACACGTGAGCCCTAGGAGGAGATCAAGGGGTGGTAGAGGGACACGTGAGCCCTAGGAGGAGACTGGGGGGGGGTGTTAGGGGGACATGTGAGCCCTAGGAGGAGATTGAGGGATATTAGAGGGACACCTGAGTCCTAAGAGGAGATTAAGGGGTGTTAGAGGGACATGTGAGCCCTAGGAGAAGATTGAGGGGTGTTAAAGGGACATGTGAGCCCTAGGAGGAGATTGAGGGATGTTAGAGGGACACGTGAGCCCTAAGAGGAGATTGAGGGGGTGTTAGAGGGACACGTGAGCCCTAGGAGGAGATTGAGGGGTGTTAGAGGGACACGTGAGCCCTAGGAGGAGATTGAGGGGTGTTAGAGGGACACGTGAGCCCTAGGAGGAGACTGGGGGGTGTTAGAGGGACATGTGAGCCCTAGGAGGAGATTGAGGGACGTTAGAGGGACACCTGTGCCCTAGGAGGAGATTGAGGGGTGTTAGAGGGACACGTGAGCCCTAGGAGGAGATTGAGGGGTATTAGAGGGACACATAAGCCCTAGGAGGAGATTGAGGGGTGTTAGGGGGACATCAGAGCCCTAGGAGAAGATTGAGGGGTGTTAGAGGGACACGTGAGCCCTAGGAGGAGATTGAGGGGTGTTAGAGGGACACGTGAGCCCTAGGAGGAGACTGGTGGGGGGGGGGGGGGGGTGTTAGGGGGACATGTGAGCCCTAGGAGGAGATTGAGGGATATTAGAGGGACACATGAGTCCTAAGAGGAGATTGAGGGGTGTTCGTGGGGCATGAGCTGCCCATAGCCGGCCTGTAAATGTATACAGTATATGTTATGCCCACACGTCCCGTGAAGTATGGAAGTATGAAGTGTTCATACGTGGGCTCTGGTTGTGTGGACATTACCTGATACTCTGCCACACATGCAATTCCAAGTGTGTCCTGAAGGCAGCGACCCAACCATTCATCTGGACGGGAACTAAGTATGTTAGAGCGGCAGAAATCCAGATGGGGCCCCAGCCTGAGGAGGAGAGCTCTGGACAGAAGGTACCCAGAAGCCCCATTACAGTATCTCCAGTTCACCTGGCCTCCAATGAACTCCATGGGTTGCCCAATGTACACAGGAGGCCCGGGGCTGAGATGGTTTACAAGCTCCTTCAGGTGGTAGCCATTAATATAGGAATCATCTTGAGAGACAAAAAACCAGTCATATGTGGATATAAAGTGGGCCTCCAGGTAACGCAAGGTGTGGTACATTAACCACGCGGGGCGCTCATCACCATGAGAAACGACCTCCATTCCTGGGAGTGCCTTAGGACTTCGGGCTCCAGTGAAGAACAACAAGCGGCTCACATGAGAGGAAAGAGTTCGATTCACAGCCACAGCCAGCGAGTTCAGGGGTGGAGCGAGAAGACAAGACGGTGACCAAAAGACGTTCTCTCTGAAGCCAAGTTCTGATTGGATGTACCGGGTTCTGTGGACAGAGATATGAATACAAGTGAACAAACTGACCTACAGCAGGAGCCTGGTCTCCCCTACCCCATAACTCCAGGAGCCTGGTCTCCGGTGGTGTTCCTACCCCTCATACTGTATGAGGAGCCTGGTCTCCGGTGTTCCTACCCCTCATACTGTATGAGGAGCCTGGTCTCCGGTGTTCCTACCCCTCATACTGTATGAGGAGCCTGGTCTCCGGTGTTCCTACCCCTCATACTGTATGAGGAGCCTGGTCTCCGGTGTTCCTACCCCTCATACTGGTCTGGTCTCCGGTGTTCCTACCCTCATACTGTATACTGTACTGTATGAGGAGCCTGGTCTCCGGTGTTCCTACCCCTCATACTGTATGAGGAGCCTGGTCTGTATGAGGAGCCTGGTCTCCGGTGTTCCTACCCCTCATACTGTATGAGGAGCCTGGTCTCCGGTGTTCCTACCCCTCATACTGTATGAGGAGCCTGGTCTCCGGTGTTCCTACCCCTCATACTGTATGAGCTCTCCTACTCACAACACTTCATATCCATGACCTAGATCTTCCATGTTGGGTGAGACGGTTTGCTGCACACATCAGAGGCTGGCAGAGGAATAGTCGTCTCCTGTCAGCATGTCCATCCTATCCCCCTCATGAAAAACATGGAGGATGCTACACAAAGGCCAATCCTTACCTAGGTGACCATTTCAGCTGTAGACCTCTTCTGCTCGTTGGACAAATATAATAATGGCTGACATAGAACTTCTCCAGGACAAAGGTGCAGCTAATAGACTGGGATGACTATATGACATGTCCATCCAACCCCCCCACCCAACAAACCACTGCCAAGGAGGAAGAAGGACCTCTCCAATAGGAGAACAATAGGATCTCAGCCTGGACTTCAACTTGCCCCATTGATGTTCCTCCCAGTAGGTTCCAGCTGGTGGTCAGCCACCAGCCACAGACGAGGTCATCGAGCAATCTATCCATACATTGGGGGACTGTCATGGACACCTACACCTTGCTATAATGGAATGTTTAGCCAGACTAACCCCAACAGGAGAAGATACTGAAATTGGTCCTAGGGTTCCACCAATACCGATTGGTCCTAGGGTTCCACCAAAACTGATTGGTCCTAGGGTTCCACCAATACAGATTGGTCCTAGGGTTCCACCAATACCGATTGGTCTTAGGGTTCCACCAATACCGATTGGTCTTAGGGTTCCACCAATATCGATTGGTCCTAGGGTTCCACCAATACCGATTGGTCCTAGGGTTCCACCAATACCGATTGGTCCTAGGGTTTCACCAATACCGATTGGTCCTGGGGTTCCACCAATACCGATTGGTCTTAGGGTTCCACCAACACCGATTGGTCTTAGAGTTCCACCAATACCGATTGGTCCTAGGGTTCCACCAATACCGATTGGTCCTGGGGTTCCACCAATACCGATTGGTCCTGGGGTTCCACCAATACCGATTGGTCTTAGGGTTCCACCAATACCGATTGGTCTTAGGGTTCCACCAATACCGATTGGTCCTAGGGTTCCACCAATACCGATTGGTCCTGGGGTTCCACCAATACCGATTGGTCTTAGGGTTCCACCAATACCGATTGGTCCTAGGGTTCCACCAATACCGATTGGTCCTAGGGTTCCACCAATACCGATTGGTCTTAGGGTTCCACCAATACCGATTGGTCCTAGGGTTTCACCAATACCGATTGGTCCTAGGGTTCCACCAATACCGATTGGTCCTTGGGTTCCACCAATACCGATTGGTCCCGGGGTTCCACCAATACCGATAGGTCCCAGGGTTCCACCAATACCGATTGGTCCTAGGGTTCCACCAATACCGATAGGTCCCAGGGTTCCACCAATACCGATTGGTCCTAGGGTTCCACCAATACCGATAGGTCCTAGGGTTCCACCAATACCGATAGGTCCCAGGGTTCCACCAATACCGGTGACAATGCTCTGATACGAAAACCGATACGTTTTAGCGATTTCACTGCGACTTGCATTGACTGAAATGAAATCAGAGGTCGAGGTGAAGTAGAACGACAAGTCGCAATGAAATGGCAAATAGGGTGCAATTTGTCCTGCGATTTTGAACGGTCAGATGACATATTCTACTAGTGAGAACCCTAAAAAACCAAATGCATCCTAAGACAAAACGGGTCTCGGGAATCGGGTACTCGGTCTTAGAAGGCCCGGCATTGGGGCGTCACTGATTGGTTCCCTCTGACAGGCTCACACAGAGGATACACGAGCCTCACCTCAACACCTTCTTGTGAGAAGGATGCGGCCGGTGGCTGTACGGAACAATCCGGGGCTTTAGGTCGTCCATGTGGGCCTTTCCTTGCCCCAGCTGTATCCCCAGGTGGCTGTGGGGACGATCCATGCATGGACCTTCATCGCCTTGTATCCAGGAGACGCGGAGGAGGCTCAGGCTGCAGCCTAAGGACAGGCCCAGGATAAAAGGAAGTGCAGGACGGAGGAGGCCGAGGAGGACCGCATAAAGCTGAGGAGCCATCCTACAACGAGGGGCCTACAGAGGAGACAAGCAGAGAAGTCAGGTCACAGGTGGGAAGTTATGGAGCTGAGAAGGTTCCCGGATCTCCTTCCCCTCTCTCCCGGATTCTGAGGTCTCATCTTACCTGACTTTCCTCACGAAAACATCAGAAATGAGGATCCGGCACACAGGACTTCATGGCTGCCTGAGAAGATACAAGACCAAGATGGATCATACCAAGACCTCCTCCATGTGTCCACTATCAGCCCCATAGAGACCCCCTATACAAGATGGATCATACCAAGACCTCCTCCATGTGTCTGCTATCTGCCCCATAGAGACCAGCTATACAAGATGGATCATACCAAGACCTCCTCCATGTGTCCACTATCTGCCCCATAGAGACCCCCTATACAAGATGGATCATACCAAGACCTCCTCCATGTGTCCGCTATCTGCCCCATAGAGACCCCCTATACAAGATGGATCATAGAAGACACCTCCTCCATGTGACTGCTATCTGCCCCATAGAGACCCCCTATACAAGATGGATCATACCAAGACCTCCTCCATGTGTCCGCTATCTGCCCCATAGAGACCCCCTATACAAGATGGATCATAGAAGACACCTCCTCCATGTGACTGCTATCTGCCCCATAGAGACCCCCTATACAAGATGGATCATACTAAGACCTCCTCCATGTGACTGCTATCTGCCCCATAGAGACCCCCTATACAAGATGGATCATACCAAGACCTCCTCCATGTGTCTGCTATCTGCCCCATAGAGACCCTCTATACAAGATGGATCATACCAAGACCTCCTCCATGTGTCCACTATCTGCCCCATAGAGACCCCTATACAAGATGGATCATACCAAGACCTCCTCCATGTGACTGCTATCTGCCCCATAGAGACCCTCTATACAAGATGGATCATATCAAGACCTCCTCCATGTGACTGCTATCTGCCCCATAGAGACCCCTTATACAAGATGGATCATACCAAGACCTCCTCCATGTGTCTGTTATCTGCCCCATAGAGACCATCTATACAAGATGGATCATACCAAGACCTCCTCCATGTGTCCACTATCTGCCCCATAGAGACCCCTATACAAGATGGATCATACCAAGACCTCCTCCATGTGACTGCTATCTGCCCCATAGAGACCCCCTATACAAGATGGATCATACCAAGACCTCCTCCATGTGTCTGCTATCTGCCCCATAGAGACCAGCTATACAAGATGGATCATATCAAGACCTTCTCCATGTGACCGCTATCTGCCCCATAGAGACCCCCTATACAAGATGGATCATACCAAGACCTCCTCCATGTGACTGCTATCTGCCCCATAGAGACCCTCTATACAAGATGGATCATACCAAGACCTCCTCCATGTGACTGCTATCTGCCCCCATAGAGACCCCCTATACAAGATGGATCATACCAAGACCTCCTCCATGTGTCTGCTATCTGCCCCATAGAGACCCTCTATACAAGATGGATCATACCAAGACCTCCTCCATGTGTCCACTATCTGTCCCATAGAGACCCCATACAAGATGGATCATACCAAGACCTCCTCCATGTGTCTGCTATCTGCCCCATAGAGACCCTCTATACAAGATGGATCATACCAAGACCTCCTCCATGTGTCCACTATCTGCCCCATAGAGACCCCTATACAAGATGGATCATACCAAGACCTCCTCCATGTAACTGCTATCTGCCCCATAGAGAACCTCTATACAAGATGGATCATATCAAGACCTCCTCCATGTGACTGCTATCTGCCCCATAGAGACCCCCTATACAAGATGGATCATACCAAGACCTCCTCCATGTGTCCACTATCTGCCCCATAGAGACCCCTATACAAGATGGATCATACCAAGACCTCCTCCATGTGTCTGATATCTGCCCCATAGAGACCCCCTATACAAGATGGATCATACCAAGACCTCCTCCATGTGTCTGCTATCTGCCCCATAGAGACCAGCTATACAAGATGGATCATACCAAGTCCTCCTCCATGTGTCCGCTATCTGCCCCCATAGAGACCCTCTATACAAGATGGATCATACCAAGACCTTCTCCATGTGACCGCTATCTGCCCCATAGAGACCCCTATACAAGATGGATCATACCAAGACCTCCTCCATGTGACTGCTATCTGCCCCATAGAGACCCTCTATACAAGATGGATCATACCAAGACCTCCTCCATGTGTCCACTATCTGCCCCATAGAGACCCCTATACAAGATGGATCATACCAAGACCTCCTCCATGTGTCTGCTATCTGCCCCATAGAGACCAGCTATACAAGATGGATCATACCAAGTCCTCATCCATGTGTCCGCTATCTGCCCCCATAGAGACCCCCTATACAAGATGGATCATACCAAGACCTTCTCCATGTGACCGCTATCTGCCCCATAGAGACCCCCTATACAAGATGGATCATACCAAGACCTCCTCCATGTGACCGCTATCTGCCCCATAGAGACCCCTATACAAGATGGATCATACCAAGACCTCCTCCATGTGACTGCTATCTGCCCCCGTAGAGACCCCTATACAAGATGGATCATACCAAGACCTCCTCCATGTGACTGCTATCTGCCCCCACAGAGACCCCTATACAAGATGGATCATACCAAGAGCTCCTCCATGTGTCTGATATCTGCCCCATAGAGACCCCCTATACAAGATGGATCATACCAAGACCTCCTCCATGTGTCCACTATCTGCCCCATAGAGACCCCTATACAAGATGGATCATACCAAGAGCTCCTCCATGTGTCTGATATCTGCCCCATAGAGACCCCTATACAAGATGGATCATACCAAGACCTCCTCCATGTGTCTGATATCTGCCCCATAGAGACCCCCTATACAAGATGGATCATACCAAGACCTCCTCCATGTGTCTGATATCTGCCCCATAGAGACCCCTATACAAGATGGATCATACCAAGACCTCCTCCATGTGTCTGATATCTGCCCCATAGAGACCCCTATACAAGATGGATCATACCAAGACCTCCTCCATGTGTCTGATATCTGCCCCATAGAGACCCCCTATACAAGATGGATCATAAAAGACACCTTGTAACGGACCACCCGACAGCACCTCTATCAGTCCCCTGATAGAGCCTCTCCAGCGTGCGAAGTCTAAGTTCCGGAGCACTTGTTTACCAGGGCCCCTGATGGTGGGGATGGACTTGGAGCGCTCCGGGACCAGGTCGCAGCTACCGGATATCTCTATCAGTGGTAGAGGAGTCTGCCGGAGGCTCCTGCAGGGTGAGAGTCTGATGTGAGGGGACCCGGGGATCCCTGAGGGATGGATGGAGGAATGAGCAAGGGCAGAGTCAAACAAGCCGTGTTGGTAGCCGGGGGGTTGGTGCGGTACAAAACAGTAGGCAAAGAATGGTCACACGCCAGGTCAATACCAGGAGATCAAATCTAAAGGGGAACATCCAGGAGCAGAGTCAGGCAGGCCAAGGGGTCAGGACAGGAGAAGGCAGCAAAGTCAGACAATCCGGCTCAAAGTACTCCCAACACAGGCAACAGGATATGCAGAAAGCCCAATCGGCAACAAGTGTCTGTTCAGGGCTGGTTTAAGTAGCCCGCCCTGCACCTGACAAGGGCAGCCTAGGTCCTAGTGCCTGCCCAGTACTGTCATAGACGACGGGTGCGCCTGGGTCCTAGTGCCCTGCTGCCTGCATGTCTTGACAGACACCTACGCATGTGTAGACCCATGCGTCGTGATGGTCCCTGACACACCTCCTCCATGTGTCCGCTATCTGCCCCATAGAGACTCTCTATACAAGATGGATCATACCAAGACCTCCTCCATGTGTCCGCTATCTGCCCCATAGAGACTCTCTATACAAGATGGATCATACCAAGACCTCCTCCATGTGACTGCTATCTGCCCCATAGAGACTCTCTATACAAGATGGATCATACCAAGACCTCCTCCATGTGACTGCTATCTGCCCCATAGAGACCCCCTATACAAGATGGATCATACCAAGACCTCCTCCATGTGTCCACTATCTGCCCCCATAGAGACCCCCTATAAAAGATGGATCATACCAAGACCTCCTCCATGTGTCCGCTATCTGCCCCCATAGAGACCCTCTATACAAGATGGATCATACCAAGACCTCCTCCATGTGACTGCTATCTGCCCCATAGAGACCCTCTATACAAGATGGATCATACCAAGACCTCCTCCATGTGTCTGATATCTGCCCCATAGAGACCCCCTATACAAGATGGATCATACCAAGACCTCCTCCATGTGACTGCTATCTGCCCCATAGAGACCCTCTATACAAGATGGATCATACCAAGAGCACCTCCTGTACTATGTCCGCAGTCTCTGGTCATCTCCTGTACTGTGTCCGCAGTCTCTGGTCATCCCCTGTACTGTCCGCAGTCTCTGGTCATCTCCTGTACTGTGTCTGCAGTCTCTGGTCATCCCCTGTACTGTCTGCAGTCTCTGGTCATCTCCTGTACTGTGTCTGCAGTCTCTGGTCATCTCCTGTACTATGTCTGCAGTCTCTGGTCATCTCCTGTACTGTGTCTGCAGTCTCTGGTCATCTCCTGTACTGTGTCCGCAGTCTCTGGTCATCTCCTGTACTGTGTCTGCAGTCTCTGGTCATCTCCTGTACTATGTCTGCAGTCTCTGGTCATCTCCTGTACTGTGTCTGCAGTCTCTGGTCATCTCCTGTACTGTGTCTGCAGTCTCTGGTCATCTCCTGTACTGTGTCTGCAGTCTCTGGTCATCTCCTGTACTATGTCTGCAGTCTCTGGTCATCTCCTGTACTATGTCTGCAGTCTCTGGTCATCCTCCTGTACTGTGTCCGCAGTCTCTGGTCATCTCCTGTACTATGTCTGCAGTCTCTGGTCATCTCCTGTACTGTGTCCGCAGTCTCTGGTCATCCCCTGTACTGTCCGCAGTCTCTGGTCATCTCCTGTACTGTGTCTGCAGTCTCTGGTCATCCCCTGTACTGTCTGCAGTCTCTGGTCATCTCCTGTACTGTGTCTGCAGTCTCTGGTCATCCCCTGTACTGTCTGCAGTCTCTGGTCATCCCCTGTACTGTGTCCGCAGTCTCTGGTCATCTCCTGTACTGTGTCCGCAGTCTCTGGTCATCCCCTGTACTGTCTGCAGTCTCTGGTCATCTCCTGTACTATGTCCGCAGTCTCTGGTCATCTCCTGTACTATGTCTGCAGTCTCTGGTCATCTCCTGTACTATGTCTGCAGTCTCTGGTCATCTCCTGTACTGTACTGTGTCTGCAGTCTCTGGTCATCTCCTGTACTGTGTCTGCAGTCTCTGGTCATCTCCTGTACTGTGTGTCTGCACTGTCTCTGGTCATCTCCTGTACTATGTCCGCAGTCTACTGGTATGTCTGTACTATGTCTGCAGTCTCTGGTCATCTCCTGTACTGTGTCCGCAGTCTCTGGTCATCTCCTGTACTGTGTCCGCAGTCTCTGGTCATCCCCTGTACTGTCCGCAGTCTCTGGTCATCTCCTGTACTGTGTCTGCAGTCTCTGGTCATCCCCTGTACTGTCCGCAGTCTCTGGTCATCTCCTGTACTATGTCCGCAGTCTCTGGTCATCCCCTGTACTGTGTCCGCAGTCTCTGGTCATCTCCTGTACTGTGTCCGCAGTCTCTGGTCATCCCCTGTACTGTGTCTGCAGTCTCTGGTCATCCCCTGTACTGTGTCCGCAGTCTCTGGTCAGCTCCTGTACTGTGTCCGCAGTCTCTGGTCATCCCCTGTACTGTGTCTGCAGTCTCTGGTCATCTCCTGTACTGTGTCTGCAGTCTCTGGTCATCTCCTGTACTGTGTCTGCAGTCTCTGGTCATCTCCTGTACTGTGTCTGCAGTCTCTGGTCATCTCCTGTACTATGTCCGCAGTCTCTGGTCATCCCCTGTACTGTGTCTGCAGTCTCTGGTCATCTCCTGTACTGTGTCCGCAGTCTCTGGTCATCCCCTGTACTGTGTCCGCAGTCTCTGGTCATCTCCTGTACTATGTCCGCAGTCTCTGACCGTCTCCTGTACTATGTCTGCAGTCTCTGACCGTCTCCTGTACTGTGTCCGCAGTCTCTGGTCATCTCCTGTACTATGTCCGCAGTCTCTGACCGTCTCCTGTACTATGTCTGCAGTCTCTGACCGTCTCCTGTACTGTGTCCGCAGTCTCTGGTCATCTCCTGTACTATGTCCGCAGTCTCTGACCGTCTCCTGTACTATGTCTGCAGTCTCTGACCGTCTCCTGTACTGTGTCCGCAGTCTCTGGTCATCTCCTGTACTGTGTCTGCAGTCTCTGGTCATCTCCTGTACTGTGTCCGCAGTCTCTGGTCATCCCTGTGCTGTCCGCAGTCTCTGGTCATCTCCTGTACTGTGTCCGCAGTCTCTGGTCATCTCCTGTACTGTGTCCGCAGTCTCTGGTCATCTCCTGTACTATGTCCGCAGTCTCTGACCGTCTCCTGTACTGTGTCCGCAGTCTCTGACCGTCTCCTGTAGTGTAGCAATGACTGGCACTAAGCTGATTGGATGTTTCTGTGTTTTTCCTCCATTTCTTTCCTAGGAGGACCATCATGTTGTGCCGTTTAGAGGTCAGTGGCGTCTGTGATGTCATCACCATGTCGGAGATCGATCGCTGGGAGGTCCCTGGTCTGAGGGATCACAATGATAATAAAGACACGCCCCTCCCCTCTGCCACCCATGGGCACTGTCCCGAGTCTCATCCACAGGACACCCACCAACCTGACACCATACACAGTGGAAGGAGTGGTGTCAGCCCTGCCCTCTTGTCCTTTGCTAAACTACCTAAACCCAGTGACTGGACAGGTGAGGATTTCTGGCAGGATCCTCGGGGGACTTCTGTACTCATCAGATATAACAGAACGCTGAAGAGACCAGAAGGAGATCGTTGTCGGGGTGACAATCATCTTCTGCTCTTGGTGGAGCCGTAAAGATTTCCCCATCCATGCCAACACAGCCAGGAGCCACGGCTGTCTGAACACTCACATCTGATTGGATGATGTCCCTGTTTGACCACCAATTCCCCCTTCCACCCTGTCGGCACCATCCAGCACTTTGTGGAGCCAGGTGGTGCCTACAGAGCAGAATGTGTTCTGACGTTTGGCCTCTACGCCGGACTCCCGGATCCCGTATCTTGGTATCTCAGGATCTTGGGCTGGTCCATGTCTGAACTCACCTGTCTGGTTGTCTTCTCCGATCTTCTGAGACTCCTGGCTTTGGATCTGACCGTTGGTCTCAGTGCACCTCGTGGTTCCGATCTCCAGGCTCAATGTACATCCTGATTCAGTGTCTGGGCTCCGTATATCAGCTACGCCGGTCTCTGGGCTCCGTATATCAGCTACGCCGGTCTCTGGGCTCCGTATATCAGCTACGCCGGTCTCTGTGCTCCGGTATATCAGCTACGCCGGTCTCTGGGCTCCGTATATCAGCTACGCCGGTCTCTGGGCTCCGTATATCAGCTACGCCCGGTCTCTGGGCTCCGTATATCAGCTACGCCGGTCTCTGGGCTCCGTATATCAGCTACGCCGGTCTCTGGGCTCCGTATATCAGCTACGCCGGTCTCTGGGCTCCGTATATCAGCTAAGCCGGTCTCTGGGCTCCGTATATCAGCTACGCCGGTCTCTGGGTCCGTATATCAGCTACGCCGGTCTCTGGGCTCCGTATATCAGCTACGCCGGTCTCTGGGCTCCGTATATCAGCTACGCCGGTCTCTGGGCTCCGTATATCAGCTACGCCGGTCTCTCTGGGCTCCGTATATCAGCTAAGCCGGTCTCTGGGCTCCGTATATCAGCTACGCCGGTCTCTGGGCTCCGTATATCAGCTACGCCGGTCTCTGGGCTCCGTATATCAGCTACGCCGGTCTCTGGGCTCCGTATATCAGCTAAGCCGGTCTCTGGGCTCCGTATATCAGCTACGCCGGTCTCTGGGCTCCGTATATCAGCTAAGCCGGTCTCTGGGCTCCGTATATCAGCTACGCCGGTCTCTGGGCTCAGTGCAGCAGCTGGTTCAGCTCTCCAGTCCGGCTGGTTTTATTCATTGGCTGGTTTGGATCTTTCATCTCTGTCTACCTTCTGGTTTTGACCTCTGAGCTAATTCTACCTTCTGGTGCAGTTCTCTGGGCTCAGTGTGCCTTCTTCTATAGGTCCCCAGACTCAGTGAACCTTCTCTTATAGGTCTTTGGGCTTGGGGTACCATCTGGTTCAGATTCTTGGGCTCGCTGTACCTTTGGGTATAGATCTCCAGGGACTATGTAACTTCTGGTTCAGATCTCCAGGCTCATTGTACCATGTGGCTCAGATCTCCAAGGCTTGGTAGACCTTCTGGTTCAGATCTCTGGGCTCAATGGACCTTCTGGTTCCAATCCCTGGGTTTAGTGGACCTTCTGGTTCAGATCTACAGGCTCGTTTGTACCATGTGGCTCAGATCTCAAGGCTTGGTAGACCTCCTGGATCAGATCTCTGGGCTCAATGGACCTTCTGGTTCCAATCCCTGGGTTCAGTGGACCTTCTGGTTCAGATCTACAGGCTCGTTGTACCATGTGGCTCAGATCTCCAGGCTTGGTAGACCTCCTGGATCAGATCTCTAGGCTCGGTGGACATTCTGGTTCTGATAACCAGGTTCAGTGGACCTTCTGGTTCAGATCTCCAGGCTCGGTAAACTTTCTGGTTCTGATCTCCAGGCTTGGTGGACCTTCTGGTTCCCCGATAGACTTTCTGGTTCAGATTTCCACGTTCAATGGATCTTCTGGTTCAGATCTCCAGGCTCGGGGGACCTTCTGGTTCAGATCTCCAGGCTCGGTGGTGGACAGCTCTGGGACCTTCTGGTTCAGATCTCCAGGCTCGGTGGACCTTCTGGTTCAGATCTCCAGACTCGATGGACCTTAGGGTTTAGAACTCCAGGCTCGGTGGACCTTCTGGTTCAGATCTCCAGACTCGATGGACCTTCTGGTTCAGATCTCCAGGCTCGGTGGACCTTCTGGTTCAGATCTCCAGGCTCGGTGGACCTTCTGGTTCAGATCTCCAGGCTCGGTGGACCTTCTGGTTCAGATCTCCAGACTCGATGGACCTTAGGGTTCAGAACTCCAGGCTCGGTGGACCTTCTGGTTCAGATCTCCAGACTCGATGGACCTTAGGGTTCAGATCTCCAGACCTAATTTACCTGATGATTGGGATCTCTGCCTTGGTGTACTTTCTGATTCAGCATACTGAATGGTTTGGATCCCCAGCCTCAGAGTTCTGAGCGGTTCCTAGACAGACTCTGGGTAGTGGTTGGTTCAGGTCTTTAGACTCAGTATACGGGGGAGGGGAAGGGAAGAGAATGTACAGATCAGAACTGACTGCCTAGACTGTTCTATGTTCAATAAAGTTCATTCAAAAAGCCTGCCTGATCATAGAGAGGAGGATAGACTGTCTGAGAGTAGAGAGGGGAGGAGGACAGACTGTCTGAGCGTAGGGAGGAGGACAGAAGAAGAGCTGGTCTGAGCCTCTGGATTACTGGGGGCGGAATGGAATGCTTGGCAAGCCGCATGGATGGGGCATGGAAGGGGCATGGATGGGGCATGGAAGGGACATGGATGGGGAATGGAAGGGACATGGATGGGGCATGGATGGGGCATGGATGGGGCATGGAAGGGACATGGAAGGGGCATGGATGGGGCATGGATGGGACATGGAAGGGGCATGGATGGGACATGGATGGGGGGACATGGATGAGACATGTATGGGGCATGGGTGGGACATGGATGCGGCATGGATGGGACATGGAAGGCCAACACACGACATGGACCTCTGAGAAGACTCGATTGTCCCAACAAGAAGTGTTCATAGACTGTGGAGAGTACGAGAACTGTGAGGGTTCTGCAGTCGGTTGGGGGGAGAGCGGGGGAGGTGAGGAGAAGGAAGATGAACCATTTCTTAGCAGGTTTGGTGGCCCGGCTTCAACTAGGGTGGCCACCTCATGTCTGTACACCCGAACACGTATGATGACCCCTCACCCTGTACACCCAAACACGTATGATGGCCCCTCATCCTGTACACCCTAACACGTATGATGGCCCCTCACCCTGTACACCCGAACACGTATGATGACCCCTCACCCTGTACACCCGAACATGTATGATGTCCCCTCATCCTGTACACCCAAACACGTATGATAGCCCCTCATCCTGTACACCCAAACACGTATGATGGCCCCTCATCCTGTACACCCAAACACGTATGATGGCCCCTCATCCTGTACATCTGAACACATATGATGTCCCCTCATCCTGTACATCCGAAAACGTGTGATGACCCTTCACCCTGTAACCTGAACACGTATGATGGCCCCTCACCCTGTACACCCGAACACGTATAATGGCCCCTCACCCTGTACACCCGAACACGTATGATGACCCCTCACCCTGTACACCCAAACACGTATGATGGCCCCTCACCCTGTACACCCGAACACGTATGATGGCCCCTCACCCTGTAACACGAACACATATGATGCCACAGGGCTGATTTATTGCAGATAGCACCTTCATCAGCCCCGGGACATCATACGT